GTGTTCGAAAAAATTGTCGAGATATGTGACCTAGCAAAAAACAAAAGTTCTCTGTTGCTAGAGAAAACTTTTCGAACGCTCAAAATTGAAAACGCAATTTTCAACTTCAGTCGAGATATGTGACCACTTTGCTCTTAACCAGGAGGATATAAAGGAAAATTTCATAAACTTTTCCACTATTAACTGGTCACGCCTAGGCTCATTGAACTAAAGATACAAAAAAAAACTGATTCTGACAACTTTTCAACTCACTGTAAGATGCGTGACCTCGAGAGCATTTCAACTCGAGCATTAAACAATTGACCCAATCCATCAGAACATGTTTTTTAATAATAAAGAACGGAAGTTTATCCTTAGAAAAGGCGAATAAGATGCGTGACCAACCAGTTTCGGAATCAACCTAGATAAGCGACCAATTTTTTTTGGTTTAGCAAATTTTGGGAACGTGACCATTGAAAAATTGTTGCAGTAGAGAGAAAAATGAAAAACACGCATGCAAAAATCAGTCGAGATATGTGACCCTGTCGGAACTTTGTACAGGGATTTGGAGTTAGGTTTATTAAAAATATGTTGCTTTAAGACGCTGAAAAACGTGACCTGCCAATAATGGGGAGTCCTCAAAAGTTACCAGAATGCACTAAGATGCATGACCCACCTGAAGAAACAATCAAAGTACTCTTGGGCTGCAGGAAACACTAAGAAATTAACTTCAGAACGCTGAAGAGGAAACAAATCCGTGGTAAATTGCCAATAAACTTCTACGGTAAACCCAACGTTGGTCGAGACGAATAAGATGCGTGACCGCCCAACGCCGAAAATAAGATAAGTGATCCCAGTGGTGAAATTTGGAGTTTTTCAGGAAAAAACCTTCTGCTCAGAACCAGTTTTTTAAAAAAATGTTTGCAAAACCTCCGCACCGGAATAAGATATGTGACCGCAGAAAATTTCCTAGTGAGTCAATGCGAAAAGGTGCATTCACCGAATGCGCGGCGACGCCAAATTGCATCGTCTGTGCCCAATTCGAGGAAATTTCCCTCCAAGATGCGTGATCCACTGTGCACTGACGTGCATAATTTGACAAAATTTGACAACTTTGTAACAAAACGAGGTTGAAAACATCAGTCAGAATCAGTTGATTAATAATCTGGTACCGAAAAACGCTTACAACGTGATGTGTCAAAAAAATTCAAAGGTTCAAAGGTCTCCACAATCCACTAA